ATTACCAGCTTGGACACAGCGGGAGAAAAATGGATGGAAAGGAGATTCATTGGTAATAAGATGAGGATTGTTGAAAAGATATTGTAGAGAGATAGTACGAAGAACTGCAGGATCAGAAGCAAGTGTGTTGTAGAACTTTGAAGTCCCAAGCATTCCCCCTAGATTGATGAAACTATCAGCTCCTACACGCATAGCAATATCTATGGCAACATTGATATCAAGGTTTTCCATATTTGTTGTTTGAGTTATGGTTTGGTAGAAGAAGCATGTACATTATATAGGAATTATTGCATAATAAGGCACTTACCTCAACTTATTTGTGCCTTTAGGCACTTTGAAGGGAGAAGGCACTCTCACATTGCCAAATCTCCATTATACCCTCAATCCGGTTCTACAGCCGGTTCTGTTTCTCTTTCTACAAACCGAACCTGGTTTGCCTCTGTCTCTATCCTCCCCACTTGTTACGGTTTCCCCCCCACACTGTAAAAAACCCTAATTTCTTCTCCCAACTTCTTTACCGTTTCTTCATTCTCCCGTTTAAAGCTCAAATCTGACCCGCCATTTCCTTTGTCAACTAACCCCTGTCGCACGGTTTCCCTACTTCATCGTTGTCGTAGGGCTGTACATCATTGTCTTCGAAGTGTTTACATTATCAGAAACTCCACGCATCTCCCTAATGGAAGGTAATTATTGAACCCAATGCTCATGTTCTCATAACTAATTTATGCAATTAACCAGTTCAAAAACCAACTGCAGCCTCGACTTCAAAGCAACCTTCTTCAGAATGGGATTCAAATCTTCCTAATCGACTTTTCGCCACTGATCGTTATCCCAAAGCGAGGCTAAATGTCTATTGTAAACCCGACATTCTTTCGTTTATCCGGTCTATTTTCCATGGGACACCGGAATTCGACACTATTCTGCAATCTTGCTTCGGTCCTCTCTTCGACTTGCCGGTAAGTCGAAGCCCTAGTTCTTGCAAGCTGATACATTCTTTGCTATGTAGGCAGTTGATAACCAAACGGAAGTATGAATTATGGACTGTGTTTGGTGGACAACCCCTGAGATTTTCCCTTATTGAATTTGGTGCTTTAACTGGTTTGCCCTGCGGTGAATTTCTAGAGGACTATGATCCAGAAAGTGAGCCATCTTATGTTGAAGGGCAGGATTGTTACTGGAACGAGTTAATAGGGAAAGATAAGGACGCAACCTTAGGTGATGTATCTGAAATGCTCCTCAACCCCAAAAAACCCTTGTCTCCTGAACACAGAGTTAAGCTTGCGTATCTCCTCATTGTTGATGGTGTCCTCATATCCTCAAACCAAACGGGGAGGCCCACATTTAAATATGTTGAGATGTTGGCAGATATTGAAGCGTTCCTTGCCTTCCCTTGGGGTAGAGAGTCATTTATGAAGACAATAGCATCCATGAGACCCGGGAAACGTATTCTACCATCAGGCACTGGGAAAAAATTGGTGTCAACTGATCCTGTGAAGAATTTCGCCAAACAACTTCAGCAGATCACATTCCGTCTGAAAGGTTTTCCGCTTGCGTTGTAACTCCTAGCATTTCGAAACATTCCTGGCATGGTTGATTTGGTCACTGATGATTCCACCTCATTGACTATCAAACACTGGAATAAAGTCTCTCTGCCAAAACAATTAATTTCTCTTTCTCAAATACACGCTCTTGAGCACCACCTGAAGGTATAAGTTTCCAACCTTGGTAGCTTCATCTTTACATACCCTCTTTGTTACTCAATTTACCCTTCTGTTTGGTCAGGAGAAAGTGGATCCTTATATTCTTCTTGGCCAAAATGTTGACAAATCTTGGGGGGAGTGGGATGATGAGGTGAAAGACAAGAAAGTAGCTTATATGTTGGAACTGATACTCAGATCAAATAAATTCAATAAATCTGAATGGCCAGGAGGTGATGACTCATTACCATTCATTTCTATCCCAAAAGAGAAAGTCGCAGTTGTTCATAAAAGGCACATTGTCGAGCGTAAAAAGAAACCAGGGCAGAAGAAATCTAACACGCGACTACGTGTGAAGTGTCAGTCTCCAAAATCAAAGCATCGCTATGCTACCCGTAGCCGGTCTTCTCTAACTCTATGTGATGATGAGAAGTCTTCTTTAATGGTGGAACTGAAAAACCAAGTGGCAGAGCTATCAAAGCGTGTATTGAAGCTAGAAAAAAGAAATAAGGCAATCATATTCAAGCGCTCTAGGAAACTCTCTTCTAGATGTGGTGAATTTGCCTCTAGATCCAGGCGCATGACGCAAGCTAAAGTTCCTGTTAAATCTCAGACCACTCCGGATGATATGTCCAATGAGGTATATATCTTACCCTTCCTTCAGTGACACTGTTTGCCCCTCACCTTATGGAAACAACTTCTATTTCTTACCAGAATGATCGTTCAAGCAATGAATTTTTATCAAACGCACACATACATGAAGGCTTTCTTATGGAGGTTTATAGCTTCTACCACTCACATAGCTATGACTATAACTATAATATTAATATAAAAGTGGTTTAACATTACAGGATCACTGCGCAACCAAAGTCAATGCTGACAATTTCGGATCACAATCAAACAATTATTTGCCTATGGCAAACAATAATGAAGGCTACAGCAATCAGTCAGAATATAACTCCGGGTTCGCGCAAACTAACACTGATTTGGATATGGAGGTATGTCTGTTATATCTTATTTGTTTCCTACTTATTGTGTAACAATATCTATATAATATTAAACATTTTTTACCTTTCTAAACAGCCACAATCCAACAAGAATTTCAATATATCGGATGTCGCACCTCAATCTCCTGGAGATATATTGGTTGGTGATGGTGTTCAGCACAACTGGAAACAATACCGGGAGGTATTTGGGTATCCTGGCCAGTTGGGCGTCCATGATGTGGTTGATGGTTTTGTCGAGGACTCCATTGAAAGAACGACATTTAAAACCCCGGTAGGTGTTCTGATTTTTTGCTACTCTTTAAAATTACCCTTTAATTAATCATTGCTTCACATATGACAATCAGGTGCTTGATGCTGACCCCATGGATGTCTTGATTACCCCACTCCCATCAGAAGAGCCTAATAAGCCTGATACACATCAAGGAAATCCCATTTATGACACTGCCAACAAAGATTCCCTTGGTTTGAATACCCCTTCTGCTCTCGAGGGTAACGAATACAATCCATCTTGCTCCAAGGTATAATTGCACACATATACATGTGTGGCTAGTCTTAAACGCGACCATTCCAGTTTTGTTTCTCTCTTGTTTAACAGTTCAACCTAACTATTCTTACAGGTTAAGGACATTGATTATGATCCCAGTTTCGATAAAAGTGACAACCTAACTGCCATCAAATCTCCAATGGCTGCTGACAGTATTGAACCTCCTACAACGAAGCTTCAAAAACAATTTGAGGTACTACAACCTAACTGCCATCAAATCTTCTCATACATTGCTTTCTAAATTAGGACTACAAGCCCGAGAATTTGTGCAACCGAACATAGTTGATATGTGTATTCTAAGCATTATCTTTAAATTTCAACTCCAAGGATGAATTCTATAGATTATATGCACCTCAGTCTGTGGTATATACCTCCAGACAACCCAAAGCTGCATATAACCCTCTTAAGGTCTACCTTCAAACAATATATCAGAGTTACCATCTGTTTCTTGATATGATGGACATGAATATTTGGTCACTTTTATAAACTATATAATTTTTTCACTACCATAATTTCGAAACAAATCTCTTACCAGTTTTTAAATTATATCAGGAAACATTGGCTACTGTCCATGTGTCTGAATATGTTATAGATACACCTGTTGAACCAATGGATGAAGATAATCCACTGAAGGTCCCGTATTTTATTTCATTATTCCTTTTTGCAGTCCCATTGGTCTTTCGTGTGTTTCTAAAACTGCTCTTTATAATATAATATATACCAGTATAATATTGATAGTTATTTGATTTATTTGTTGTTTGCAGCCTTTGGTATTTGCTGAAGATGTCCCAATAAAGGTATACCTTCAAAAACAGATAGTAGTTTCCGAGTGTGTCTTGTTATAATGGTCACGAATTAATGGATACTTGTTTTGACATATCTATTTGACCATATTCCTTTTGCTAATACACTCAGGAAACATTGGTTAGTGTTATTGCATCTCAGGAAATTATTGATACACCTATGCAACCAATCTCTGAAGATAATCCACTCCAGGTCTTCTCTTCTCTTAAACTTGGCCAGTATTGTATGACGTGTATTTAAAGTTTTTTGTATACCAATTCCCAAATTCTTATGTGTATTTCTACTTATACTCACAGGACCACGTAAAGATTGTTCATACCCCTGATACAGAAATTTCTCAAGCAAATTTGAATATGGTCTACCTTAAAACTTCTCAGACCCTTATTATAGAGGTCGCCGTATAAATGCCTTCTTGATTTATATTATTTCTGTTTGTAGGCATTGGTATTGGTGGGGGATCCTGTTTTTGATACCACATCCAAATCAGAGATAAGCAACCAATCATCCCCAACTGAGGTATGGACATATTATCTCTGCCTATGAACTATTTCAGTCATTCTTTAATTCTTACCATTTAATCCCATTAACTTTACAATGTTTTCCATATTGGTGCAGGGTAAAATCTTCTTAAGGGAAAACATTGATGGACAAAACATTGTGGATAATCAGGTTTACTTATAATTTTATCTTTTTATAAATAGAACAAGTTTTTATTGATATTGACTTTTAAAATTCAATTTCTCCTTTATCTGCAGGACAAAGAAGATTCCATTGTTAGTCATTCATATGTACTTTCTATTTTGTTTCCTCCTAATTTGGTCTTTTTAATATAACAGTATTATGATTGCTTATTTTATTTTATCTTCCAGGATAATAAATCGCAACTGTCTAACAAATCAGACCCTATAGAAGAGGATTTAGTTAATGTTTCAGATTCATCACCAGCACAAGCGAGAGAAAAACCTATTCTTTCGGAACCTGAGTCTATTCTTGTAGCTGAGTTTTTATCAAAACCAAAAATGGAGGCATACCAACTTTTACCACTCCTAAAAAAGACAGATTATGCCCATTTTTTGGATACCCTTTCATCAGCTCCTAATACGTATGCATACACTGTAATTGTTTTCTTCAATCCTCACATGTGGTCATTAAGGCACCTAAACTATCCTTGTTACTCCTCTTAGGGAACATGTTACGGATTCTGGATTCCTATTTCCCAACTCATTCCTCCTGAAGCTTGCAAAACCTCAAAATTGGGTTTCAACTCTGGTAACTATATTTTATTTTCAACTCATTGTTCTGTATTTAGCCAGTACTCAGAGATAATAATATATTAGCCTTTCTTTCCACAGCACATGGAGGTTTTAGTGGAGTTACTTTCTAGTAGGCTTGCAACAAGACTTGCCACACAGCGTGCTGCTTTTGTTGAACCATGGTTTGCTAACCAGTTACAAGGAAAATACAAATCTTTCAAAGCAGCAAAAATCAAATCTCGCGTCCGCTGGTCCGATCCCATGAAACGCTTTATTGTTGGCCCCACCACCGAGTGGTTCACAGACATTGATACCATTTACGTACCTATGATCTGGAATTCTTGCCACTGGGTAGGCCTTTCAATCAATCTAGGAGTCTGGGAAGTTGAAATTCTCGACCCAAATACTGACCTCAATTCGGAGGAAAAAGTTAAAGAATGTATCGAGCCTGTTGTTACCCTTTTGCCACACCTCATCCAGAGGTACTGTAAGCCCGCATGTTCCCAGAACCATGGACTAAAACCTTTCCTGTGGAGGCGAATACATGGTGTATACAAGAATGTTAGATCTGGTGACTGTGGCCCGGTTGCTATGAAATTTCTTGAGATAATGGCAAGCGATAAACTCCCAGATCAAATGGAGAAAATCACTGACAAACACGTTGACAGTTTCAGGCGTCAATATGCAATGGATATTTATGAGCATCTTGTCTGTCCTGTTTATGCATCTGACTTTGCTGCCTAGTGTCTACATGTTTCCCAAGTTTCTGTTTGTAATCGTAACCATCATTTCCCTTCTTTCCTACTATATTCCTGTGGATACTGGCGCCTACTCTGTTTTTCTTTATTATGTACTCTGTACTCAAACTATTATTTTCTCTGTAATCGTAACCATCATTTCCCTTCTTTCCTACTATATTCCTGTGGATACTGGCGCCTGCTCTGTTTTTCCTTTCTTTATTATGTACTCTGTACCCAAACTATTATTTTCTCTGAAATTCATTTTGTCTACATCCTATCTTTCCATCCATATTAATTCATCCATTGTTACAGTCGTTTTAGGACTCTATTGTCACATTATTCTTATCTATTATCCTTCACATGAACTGAGTCTTAACAAATCAAATTACTTGAGTCGGATGAAACATAATGGAAACATAATTCATAGAATAAGTAGTCCCACACATACATTACATTTCATACTTAAATCTACTAACTCTACTCTCAACTGAATAATACATAGAATCCGAAAGCTATGATTAAACCACCAAAGATAAATACTTTGTTCTTCACACAAATATCTTCTCTATCTTTCCCACATAGCAACAGTCCACACTTAAGACCTTCAATCTCTTTCTGTGTTTGTTCCTTAAAATCTTCAAATTCTTTGAATTTCTTCTCTATCACTTCCAAGTCTTCTTCCAGAGTCTTAACCACCCTTTTAACACTTTCCATCTCTTCAACCATGGATATGTCGGTCCACTTAAACAAATGATTCTTACTCTATATTTGGCAAAACAAAATTTTAATCAAATGTTAACAAATAAATCAGATTTTCCTATTGATGTTGCTTATCTGCTTACCTCCTCCGATCCGTAAGGACAACAATGAAAGAGTCTACCAGGATTTATCGGGGTCTTTGAAGTCTTCATCACAGATAATTGGCCACATGTACATTGCCGAGGGATTCCACTCACGGTGTGAGAGGACAGGTTGCTCACTCCTACACCAGATCAAAAAGATATCATCATTTATCTCGATAATAGCTTTTTCCAAATTTTTTACCATTTAAATTATAGATTACTCACCTCCACTTTCGCATGACGACATCGTGGTTCCTACTCCGGAATATCAGAATCTATATATGGAAAAATCTCGAAAAGAAAAGCTCCGGATTATCGTGTTTGGGGGAGGTTTGATTATATGCGACGCCGTAAAAATATAAATATTTTTAAACGTGGATTTTTAGTATTGGACACCTTAACTCAGTCCATTCACAATATGTTATGTGATAGGGATACTTATTTTTGGACATCTCTACGACTTTGAAAAAGACAAACTTTTTGAATAAATTATGTTGTTTGTATAATTATAAACAAAATGGTTTCTTGATTATGTGTACTTGTTAATTATCCCAATAACTAATCTAAAACCCAATCCATTACTAAAGAAGAGTTAACAGTGAAAAGTTTAAATCATTATGGGGGGAAATTTCCCGCACAAATTTTAGATGGGCAGATGATATGTCTATATTTTACTTGTTTTGAGCATCCATTTAGCATCACTTTATCATCATTTCGTCATTGTTTCATACCATTCTTCATCATTTGTCATCACTTTGCATGATTAGGGTAGTTTTGCATGCATGTTGCATATTTGAGTTGTTTCAGGTGCTTCGGGGCTATTGGTGTTCAGAAAGAGGAAAAACATAGCTGAAAGTCACATTTGGACCATTCTGCTCGATCACCAGTAGCAGAGAGGGAAGCAGTCAGCTCAGCAGACCATCAGGAGTGTTCTGCTCGATCACAGGGCAGTCCATCCTGCCAGTTCACAGTTCTGCTCGATCACAGGGCAGTCCATCCTGCCAATTCACAGTTCTGCTCGATCACAGAGCAGTTCATCCTGCCAGTTCACAGTTCTACTCGATCACAGAGGAAGAGGAGCAGTCCATCCTGACAGTCTACCCACATACTCGATCGCAAGGAAGAAGAAGCAGTCCAGAGCGTGCCACCAACCAATCTACTCGATCACCACCTCCCCGCAGCCACTTGATCACAAGCTTCACAGTCTTCTCAGATCCCAACTCAACCAGACATTGAGCATAAGGAAGAGAAGAAGATGAAGCAGAACTCGAGCACATACTCGACCCAAATGCTCGATCACGACATGCCCAGAGCAAGAAATCGCAAAGGCGCCAACTTTATTCAACCTCTCTACTCGATCACAAGGGTCGAGTTTCTCCGTAAACCGCCTTAATACTTTGTCGTCTTGTGATTTAGGGTTTCCTAGTATTTGCTATAAATAGGTTGTTTCTCATAATTTTGAGACTAAGTTTTATTCTGTCTAAGTTTTATTCTGAGAACAATTAGTGCTTTCTTCATATTTGTAATCCAGATTTCTCTTAATCTATTGAGTATTTGCTTTTGATTTCTTCTACAAAGTTGTTCATCTTGTTGAGATCTTGCTAATATGAAGTTTTTATGTATTTCTGGGTTTGTGTTCTTGGTTATGAATTTTGAGTAGTGATTAGGGTTCTTGAGGATGGGTTAGAGTAGTTTAGAATCCTTGATCTGCTAGGTGGTTGAGTTTGATTGGTAGATCCCTTCTGGATTAGTTGTTCTTAATGCTGATTGCTTTCTGATCAACTGGAATCTGAGCCCAGACATTTCCGCACCCAAAAGGTGTTCGATGAAATGTCTGAACCACTAATTCCAGAGATTCGTGGCTCTGTACCAAGGTATTGGTTACAGGGAGCGTTTTGGCTTAGATTTGTTGTTTCGTAATGCCTGTTAGGTTAGCTCTCGTCAATGGTGATTGAGTCTGGGACTAGCTTTGCTTGAGGATCTCTGTTGCGGTAGCACTTTGATTTGGCTATTGAACTTATTGTCTAGGGATAGTTTGTTGAGCATGTTAACCACCTGTTAGATTAAGGAGACTTCACTACTCGATCACCCCATCCTCGGGAATTTCTCTTCCAATTGATTTCTTTGTTTACATCGCTTTTGATTGCTTGATCTTGTCACTTGGTTCTTAATTATCATTTCTACCCTGTTTCATTTGAAGTACTCGACCACACCCAGTAGTTTGGTAACAAATTGTGCAGTCGAGTACCCTGTTTACAGTTTCTGTTAAATTACTCGACCTGATATTCGACCACATCCAGTGCTTGGCATCAAGCTGTGTGATCGAGTATATTGCCTGTTATAGTTAGAATTTATGTTATCTGCATGATCGCTAGAGCTGTTAACAACACCAAAACCTGTTATTGCTTGGCTTGACTCTGTGATATCTGATTGCATCTTGATTGCTAGCATCACACCCATTTGGATTGACACCTTAAATACTGCAATGACATGATAGTACTTTAAGGATAATTGATCTTAGCTAAAATCCTACTATCAATTTGGCGCCGTTGCCATTTGGGTGTTTGTTTGTTACATTTGAGATTTCAGACTTGCTTAGATCAAGTTCTATTTCAATTTTCACTTAGGTTACTAACTTTTTGTTTTTCTTGTTGTCTTTTTGATCCAGGTACAACCCTGCTGTATGCAAACTCGATCAAAAGGCAACCAGAACCTCCTTTTCAACGATAACATTGACCGTATTGACAGAGAACTAAGGGAAAGGAGAGACACTACAGACCTTGAACACAACCATCCTTTCAGAATGGCTGATGAACAAGATGTCAACAATCTGCCTGCAAACATTGGTGCTGGAGATGCACCAAGAAACCACCACCAGAGGCAAGGGATTGTGCCTCCTGCTGTCCAAAACAACAACTTCGAGATTAAAAGTGGTCTCATCTCGATGATTCAGGGAAACAAGTTCCATGGTCTGCCTATGGAAGACCCACTCGACCACTTAGACGAATTTGATAGGCTCTGCAGCCTAACAAAAATCAACGGAGTCAGTGAAGATGGATTCAAGCTCCGGTTGTTCCCATTCTCCTTGGGTGACAAAGCACACATCTGGGAAAAGAATCTTCCACCTGGATCCATCACATCCTGGGATGACTGCAAGAAGGCCTTTCTTACAAAATTCTTCTCCAACGCAAGGACTGCACGGCTCAGGAATGAGATCTCTGGTTTTGCCCAAAAGAATGGAGAAAGCTTCTGTGAAGCCTGGGAGCGCTTCAAAAGTTACACCAACCAATGTCCTCATCATGGCTTCAGTAAAGCCTCACTGCTCAGCACACTCTACAGAGGTGCTCTTCCACGGATCAGAATGCTCCTTGATACTGCGAGCAATGGGAATTTCCAGAACAAGGATGTTGCTGAAGGCTGGGAATTAGTTGAGAACTTAGCTCAGTCAGATGGAAATTACAACGAGGACTACGACAGGACCATCAGAGGAACAGCTGACTCGGATGATAAACACAGGAAAGAGATGAAAGCTCTTAATGAGAAACTGGATAGGATTCTCCTTGGCCAGCAGAAGCATGTGCACTTCCTAGTTGATGACGACCAGTATCAAGTCCAAGATGGGGAGGGGAACCAATATGAAGAGGTCAGCTACATCAACAATCAAGGTGGCTACAAAGGTTATAACAACTTCAAGACTAATAACCCCAACCTTTCTTACCGCAGCACCAACGTTGCTAATCCACAGGATCAAGTGTATCCTCCACAACAACAGCAGGGTCAGAATAAACCTTTTGTTCCCTACAACCAAGGTTTTGCTCCCAAGCAACAATTTCAGGGGAACTACCAGCAGCAACCACCACCTGGGTATGCACCTCAGCAACACCAAAGTCCTGTTGTTCCTGATTCTGACATGAAGCAAATGCTACAACAGCTTCTCCAAGGACAAGCCTCTGGCTCCATGGAGATTGCTAAGAAGATATCTGAATTACACCATAAGTTGGATTGTAGCTACAATGACCTAAATGTAAAAGTGGAAGCATTGAGCTCCAAGGTCCGATACTTAGAGGGACAATCTGCATCCACTTCTGCTCCGAAACCTCCAGGGCAACTCGCAGGGAAAGCAATTCAGAATCCAAAGGAGTATGCTAATGTTCATGCTATCACCCTAAGGAGTGGAAGAGAGTTATCCAGCCGAGAGGGACCCAAGCCAGTCACTGAGGACAGTGCAGACCAAGATGGGGAGGATTTCAGTCTCAATGAAGATCAAGTTGACAAACCAGCTGAAGTACTCGATGGACATACTCGATCAACAACTCGAGTAGCGGCTATACCTGCTGAAAAACCAGTTGCTGCTAAGAACAAGGAGAAGGTTTTTGTTCCTCCTCCTTACAAGCCCCCACTTCCATTTCCTGGTAGACAAAAGAAAGCGTTGGCAGATAAGTACAGAGCTATGTTTGCAGAGAACATCAAAAACGTTGAAGCCAGGATACCTCTTGTTGATGCTCTCACGCTTATTCCGGATTCCCACAAGTTTCTGAAAGAATTGATCAGGGAGAGAATTCAAGAGGTTCAGAGAACAACAGTTGTGAGCCATGAGTGCAGTGCCATCATACAGAAGAAGGTTGTCCCAGAAAAGCTAGGAGACCCTGGTTCATTTACTCTACCATGCTCCCTAGGTCCATTGACTTTCAATAAATGCCTTTGTGACCTAGGAGCATCAGTAAGTCTCATGCCACTATCAGTAGCTAAGAGGTTGGGTTTTAACAAGTATAAATACTGCAACATCTCCTTGATCTTGGCTGATAGGTCTGTTAGACTACCTCATGGGTTATTAGAAGATTTGCCTATCAAGATTGGAAATCTGGAGGTGCCTACAGACTTCGTAGTGTTGGACATGGATGAAGAACCAAAAGATCCCTTGATCTTAGGAAGGCCCTTCTTGGCTACAGCTGGAGCAATCATAGATGTTAAGCAAGGGAAGATTGATCTTAATATGGGAAAGGATTTAAAAATGAAGTTTGACATCAATGATGATATGCAAAAGCCCACAATAGAAGGACAGACCTTCTTAGTTGAGGAAATGGATCGGCTAGCTGATGAACTGCTAGAGGAACTTGCTGAAGAAAATTACTTAAAAACTGTTTTGACCAAGAGTGGTAAAGCTGGGTATCTCCCTAGTGAGACTTTGAG